ATCTGCCTCCCGGGTTCAAGCGATTCTCCTGTCTCAGCCTCCCGAGTAGCTGGGATTACAGGTATGTGCCACCACACCCGGCTAATTTTGTATTTTTAGTAGAGACGGGGGTTTCTCTGTGTTGGTCAGGCTGGACTCGAACTCCTGACCTCAGTTGATCCACCTGCCTCAGCCTCCCAAAGTGCTGGGATTACAGGTGTGAGCCACCGTGCGCCCGGCCCTATTTATTTTTTAAAGGTGGCGAGGAGGAGGAAGAGAGAATGATTGATTGATTGATTTCTTTTTTTCTTTTTGAAGTAGGATCTCCTTCTGTCACCCAGGCTGGAGTGCAATGGCACAATCTTGACTCACTGCCACCTCCATTGCCTGAGAGCAGTTCTTCCACTTCAGCCCCCCAGGTAGCTGGGACTGCAGGGGCGTGCCACAATGCCTGGCTAAGTTTTTTATTTTTTGTAAAGAAGGGGTTTGCCATGTTGCTCAGGCCGGTCTTGAACTCCTGGACTCAAGCAGTTCTTCCATCTTGGCCTCCCAAAATGCTGGGATTACAGGCGTGAGCCACCATGCCCAGCCAGACCCAGTATTTTAATCACTGTACTTTTATAGTATGTTTTGACCTCTGGTCCCTACTTCCTGAAACATACCCTTTTCTTGGCCTCCATGACCTGACACTTGTCTTTTTTTTTTTTTTTATAAAGACCCCATCTCTACTAAAAATACAAAATATTAGCCGGATATGGTGGTGGGCACCTGTAATCCCAGCTGCTTGGGAGGCTGAGGCAGGAGAATTGCTTGAACCCCGGGGGCAGAGGTTGCAGTGAGCTAAGATCATGCCATTGCACTCCAGCCTGGGCAACAAGAGCGAAACTCCATATAAAAACAAACACAACAACAAAAAAACTTTTGGACTCAATCAGTCCCTCCACCCTCAAGCAATTCTCCCATCTTGGCCTCCCAGAATGCTGAGATTATAGTTGTGAGCTACCATGCCCAGCCAGATCCAGTATTTTAATCATTGTTTTTTTTTTTTTTTTTTTTTTTGAGGCGGAGTCTCACTCTGTCACCCAGGCTGAAGCACAATGGCGTGACCTCAGCTCACTGCAACTTCCGCCTCCCAGGTTCAAGGCATTCGCCTGCCTCAGCCTCCCAAGTAGCTGAGATTATGGGGATGCACCACCACGCCTGGCTAATTTTGTATTTTTAGTAGAGACAGGGTTTCTCCATGTTGGTGAGGCTGGTCTTAAACTCCCAACCTCAGGTGATCCGCCTGCCTCAGCCTCCCAAAGTGCTGGGATTACAGGCATGAGCCACTGCGCCCGGCCTCTAATCATTGTACTTTTATAGTATGTTTTGACTTCTGGTCCCTACTTCCTGAAACACACCCTTTTCTTGGCCTCCATGACCTGACACTTGTCTTTTTCTGTAGGGACAAGGTCTCATTATGTTGCCCAGACCGGTCTCAAACTTCTGGATTCAAGCATTCCCCTTGCCTTGATTTCCCAAAGTGCTTACAGGCATGAGCCACCATGCCTGGCCCCACTTGTCTATTTTGGTTTTGGAGGCGGGGTCTCACTCTGTCACACAGGCTGGAGGGCAGTGGTTCGATCACAGTTTACTGTAGCCCCAACCTCCCAGGCTCAAGCAATCCTTCCACCTCAGCCTCCCAAAGTGCTGGGAGTACGGGCATGAGCCACCTTGCCCGGCGATTTGTCTATTTTTCTTTATCCTTCTGTGGGTACTCCTTAGTCTTCTCCATAGGTTCTGTCTCTGTGGTCATCCCCTAAACATTAGTGTCTTCAATAACCTAGCCCATTCTCATTCCACACCCTCCCCGGGTGATGTTATCCACTCACATGATAATGGCTCTTAAATACATGTCGCTATTCCAAATGGCATTCCTAAATATTTCTATTCATTGTCCTATGGAGATGTCAAATTCAATCTGTGAAAAGCTGAACTCATCTTTTCTCCTACTCACCTCCCACCCCAATAAACCTGGTCCTCTTTTAGTGTTTCCTCCATCCTTTTTTTTTTTTTTTTTTTTTTTTTAGTCATGGTCTCACTCTGCTGCCCAGGCTGAAGTGCAGTGGCTTGATCATAGCTCACTGTAACTGTCGAACTCCTGGACTCAAGCAATCCTCTGCCTCAGCCTCCTGAATAGCCAGGACTACAGATGTGCACCCACCACACCTGGCTAACTTTTAAAAACTTTTTTTTAATTTTGCAGAAACAGGGTTCCCAATATTGTCCTGGCTGGCATCAAACTCCTGGCACAACTGGCCATACAATTGCTGAAGTCAGAAACTGCTTGTTTTCTTGTCAGTCTTCTTTTCTTTTCTTTTCTTTCTTTTGACATGGAGTCTTGCTTTGTCACCCAGGCTGGAGTGCAGTGGCGTGATCTCAGCTCACTGCAACCTCTGCCTCCCGGTTCAAGCGATTCTCCTGCTTCAGCCTCCTGAGTAGCTGGGATTACAGGTGCATGCCACCATGCCCAGCTAATTTTTGTATTTTTAGTAGAGACAGGATTTCACCATGTTGGCCAGGCTGGTCTCAAACTCCTGACCTTGTGATCCACCCATCTTGGCCTCCCAAAGTGCTGGTATTACAGGTGTGAGCAGCCGCGCCCGGCCTCTTGTCAGTCTATTTCTATTCCTCCTCCTCCTTGTAAATCAATCACCAAGTTATGTTCACTGGACCTCCTAAATATATTGAGTTACCCAATTATCTCCACCCCACTGTGATTACCCTAGCAGTTTAGGCTGCTTTCATCAAGTACTCAGGTAATTGCACTACTTCTAACTGGTATCCCTGCCTCCTCTCTTATCCTCTCTGTAATCCAATCTCTACCCTGCAGCCAGGGTAGAGATTATAAGATGTAAATTTAATCATGCCACTCTCCTACTTAAACCTTTCAAAGCTTCCCCATCTGACTACAGGATCAAGTCCAAACTCTCACATGGCTTACACAGTCCTGCCATGATCTGGCTCACACAGTCCTGCCATGATCTGGCTCCTGTTGTTCACTACAGCCTTAACTCTTTATAATGTGAACTCTTGGCCGGGCGCGGTGGCTCAAGCCTGTAATCCCAGCACTTTGGGAGGCCGAGATGGGCGGATCACGAGGTCAGGAGATCGAGACCATCCTGGCGAGATCCATCTGGGTGCTAACACGTGTGAAACCCGCGTCTCTAATAAAAATACAAAAAAATCTAGCGGGCGGGTGGCGGGCCGCCTGTAAGGTCCCTGTACTTGGGAGTGAGGCAGGAGAATGGCGTGGAACCCGGATAGGTCGTGAGTTGCAGTGAGCTGAGATTCGCCACTGATCCAGCCTGGCCCGGCCAGAGCAAGACCTCGCCTTAAAAAAAAAAAAAAAAAATAAAAATATGAATCTTTCTTCCTGAACAGAGTTGCTTCAATGTCTAAGGTATCTGGGCTGGGTCTCCTCTTTTTACTTGCTGAATTATCCTACAGGTCACAGCTCCATTTCTTCTGACACTTCCAGCGTACCCTCTCTGTGGTCAGAGGCCCGTTGTTTTTTCACTTCACACCGTGTAGACCCGATTCTGTCTATATTCATCCACATTGTTTTATCTCAGGCAGTGAAACCCCTTGAGTACAGGGGTCCGCGCCTGGCTTCGCTGTAGTCTCCAGGCACCTAGACAGGCTGCAGCGAAGTAAGTGCACGTGAGTATTGTTGTATGATGGGTATTGTGTTAATTTTAAATTGGATGCTTTGGAGGTTGGTTGTCTTTGGGAAAGCTAGCGCTATTGGCTGAGGAACGGCCTTGGTCTGTGGGCAAGGTTTAGGCGTATATTTGCCAGTGTAGTTAAGGAGAGGAACGGAGGGATAAATCCACTCCATTAGGTCACACTGCCGTGGAGCGCGCCGTTTTTTCTGCCAACTGAGCCGGACGTGGCGCGCGCGCGGTGAGATGTTAGGATGTTCATGTATTGGACCCCTGGATAAGAGTATTTCACTTCTGTCTCCTACTGTCAAGTTTTCA